TCCGCCGATCCGCCCCATTGAGGGACCCGCGCCGGCCGCCGGGTGCTGAGGGACGCGCCACCCCGCCGAGTGCTGAGGGACGCGCCGCCGATCCGCCCCATTGAGGGACCCGAGCCGGCCGCCGGGGACTGAGGGACGCGCCGGCCGCCGAGTGCTGAGGGACGCACCGCTGACCCGCCCGATTGAGGGACCCGCGCCGGCCGCCGAGTGCTGAGGGACGCGCACCTCGCCGGGCTGAGGAACCGCCGGCCGCCGAGTGTGAGGAGCGCCGCTGACCCGCCCGATTGAGGGACCCGCGCCGGCCGCCGAGTGCTGAGGGACGCGCCACCCCGCCGGGCTGAGGGACGCGCCGGCTGCTGAGTGCTGAGGGACGCGCAGCCGACCTGCCGGATTGAGGGACCCACGCCGTCCGCCAGGGACTGAGGGACGCGTCGTCCCGCCGATCGCCGAGGGACGCGCCGGCCGCCGAGTGCTGAGGGACCGGTCGCGGAGGGCTGAGGGACGCGGCCCCGCCTGGACTGAGGGACGCGCCGCCCCGCCGAGTGCTGAGGGACGCGCCGGGCTGAGGGACCGGCCGCGGAGGACTGAGGGACGCGCCGCCCGGCCGAGGGTGCCGGGCGCGCGCTCCGGGGAGCCCGCGAAGTGCCGCTCTCTGGCCGCAGGGTCGCGGGCGTGCGGGCCATGGCCCTGAAGGACACTGGCGGCGGCGGCGGCGGCGGCGGCGCCATCCTGCCCATCAGCGACATGGTCTCCGCGTCGGCGCGCGCCCGCCACCGGCCGCCGCCACCGCCGCCGCCCCGCCGCCGCCGCCGCCGGCCGCCTTCCCCGAGGTGGTGGAGCTGAACGTGGGCGGCCAGGTGTACGTGACCCGGCACGCGACGCTGCTCAGCGTCCCGGGCAGCACGCTGGCCAGCATGTCGCGGCCGGCGGGCGGCGCGCGGGGCGGCGGGCGGCGGGGCGAGCTGCCGCGGGACAGCCGCGCGCGCTTCTTCATCGACCGCGACGGCTTCCTCTTCAGGTACGTGCTGGACTTCCTGCGCGACCGGCGCCTGGCGCTGCCCGAGCGCTTCCCCGAGCGGGAGCGGCTGCTGCGCGAGGCCGAGTACTTCCAGCTGGCCGAGCTGGTGCAGCTGCTGGCGCCCGGGCCGGCGGCGGCGCCCGGCTCGCCGCGCGACGAGGGCTGCGCGAGCGACGCGGACGACAGCGGCTCTGCGGCAGCGGCGACGCGGCCGGCCGGCCGCGGGGGCGGCGGGGTGTCCAGGTGGGGTGTCCCGGGTAGGGGATGTCCTGGGCGGGGTGTCCCGGGCGGGTGTCCAGGTGGGGTGTCCCGGGCGGGCTGTGTCCCGGGCGGGGTGTCCAGATGGGGTGTCCTGGGTGGGGGGTGTCCCGGGCGGGTGTCCAGGTGGGGTGTCCCGGGCGGGTGTGTCCCAGACGGGGTGTCCCAGGCGGGGAGTGTCCCGGGTGGGGGGTCCAGATGGGGTGTCTCGGGTGGGGTGTCCACTGGGGTGTCCTGGGTAGGGAGTGTCCGGGGTGGGTGTCCAGGTGGGGTGTCCTGGGAGGGGTGTCCAGGTGGGATGTCCCGGGAGGGGTGTCCAGGTGGGGTGTCCCGGGAGGGGTGTCCAGGTGGGATGTCCCGGGCGGGGTGTCCAGGTGGGGTGTTCCGGGAGGGGTGTCCAGGTGGGGTGTCCCCGCGGATGAGGGTGCCGGGGGGGGTTGTCCGGCGGGTCTGTGTCCCCGGGTGGGGTCCAAATGGGGTGTCCCAGGCGGGGGGTGTCCCGGGAGGGAGGTGTGCCGGGTGGGGGGTCCAGCTGGGGTGTCTCGGACAGGGTGTCCACTGAGGTGTCCCGGGCGGGGGGTCCCGGGCGGGGACTGGAGTGACAAGCAGGAGCGGCTGTCCCTGCGGGCCGCTTTTGCGCGGGAGGACTCGGGGTGACGGTCTCGTCGCTTCCGAGTCCCCCTGCGCCGCCTTTCTGGCGCTGGGGGAGCCCGTTCCTGCGCGGCGGGGCCTCCTGGACAGACTGGGTCGGCCTCGCCCCTCCTCGCCCCGCCTGCGTGTCCCCGTGGGTCGCGCGGGACCCGGGAGGGGACTGGAGCGCGCGGCGGTGCGCGGTCCGCCCCGTCTCTAACGTCCTGGGACCCGGGGCGGCAGCGCACGTGGCTCTCGGTGATGTCCTTGCAGAGGACCGCGCGCACTGAGGTGTCACCTGCTGTCGGTGCGCGTGCGGCGCGGGAGCGCCCGGTTACCGGGGCGACGGGAAAGGGCGGGTGGCGCCGCAGCCAGAGCTCGTCTGGGCGGGGGCGCGGGAGCGGCCACCCGGAGTCCGGATTGTCCCCCGGTTGTGTTTGGGACCCGGGAGGTGGAAGGAGCTAGAAAGTTGGGATGTCCAAGTGAGTGCTGCTCTCTGATCCGGAGAGGGCGCGCTGCGTGCGTGCGTGCGTGTGTGTGTGTGTGTGTGTGTGTGTGTGTGTCTGCATGTGCGAGATTGTGTTTCCTTCCAGCGCACGTGTGTGTGTGTGCATGTGCGAGATTGTGTTTCCTTCCTGCGCACGTGTGTGCGCGTGTGTGCGAGATTGTGTTTCCTTTTTGCGCACGTGTGTGCGCGCGTGCGCGTGCGTTTCCCACTTCCAGTGCGAAAGGGGGCTGAGTCCACTCCCCGGGGTGCAGGAATGCACCGGTTTTCTGCAGTGAGACAACGAGGGACAGGAGGTGGGGCGGCATTTGGGACCACGCTGTTCCTGCTGCGCTCCGGGGAGCCGCGCGTGGGAACGGCGCCCACGGCCTCGCGGAACCTGCACTGGGCGTGGGCGCGGTGGGCGTGCGGCGCGCACGGGTCAGTTCTGTTGATGAAGCGAGGAAGCGGTTTGGACAAATGAGGAGCCGGCTGGGGTGGCAGCGGGAGGATGATTTTGCAGACGTTTGTCTTTTGGCCACAGAAGCTTTGAAACTTGCCTGCAGCCTGAGAGAGTAGCATTGAAAGCCTGTGACGGCAATAGCTTTAAGTGCATTTATTTATTCAGTGACCACAACCGAACACTTTTCTACACTGTATCTTGACTGGAGAACGGGAAGGAGCCGCTCCGTGCACAGGTGCAAACTGATGGCTCCGTGTTTGCATGTCCTGGAGGCAGGGTGACAAAACCCAGCACGCCGGTTCTTAGAGTTAGACTGTCTTTTTAAATAGTGCTCTATTTCTTGAGAAAATCATTCAGACAGAAAAGCGATTGAAGTGTCCACCGAAGTGGTGGATATAAACCTATTGCCTTAATTATGTAGAAGTATTACCTGGTTCACAGTGAAACCGTTGATGGTCAGAAAAGCCACCTGAGGGAAGATAATATTTTATTGCTTATATAAAATTGGCCTATCTTCAGTATATGTTAAGTGCTTTAAATATTTTAGCATCATTCTTTAACATGTTATCCACTGTCATCGTGACCTTTATCAATAACTTTTTAGATTTTAAACACTTAAGTCATTCAGCACAGGCTTCCAAGCATTTCAGAAGATGAGTTAAAACGAAACTTTGCCTTTCTTGTGGTTGGTAATTTTTGTTGAAGATGTGTAAGCATGAGTGTTCTGCAGAGTTAAGTTTCTAAAATTCTGGAAATCTTTCAGAGTTTTGGTTTCTCTTTTTCCCCTAGAAAGTTGTAGACTTGAATATGGTCATTATTTTGATTATAAGGAAATAATACAGGTTATATCTAAATTAGGAAAAAAATTCCTCAATATATTTAAGTTGGAAACTTGGCCAACTTAACTAATAAGATAATTTGAGAGATATTTGAAATTCAGGACCTGCTCATATCTGGACTTAGAAGAAGTGTTAAATATTCATATTATGCATAACCACTTGCAGAGTACTCTCATTACTGATGACCTCTGAAATTCATTCATAAAAGTCTCAATTTAAGAGAGCAACTCACAACTTTCTTCATTGATTATCCTAACTTTGGGGGAAAATGCACAATTCCAGATTAAATATTATTCTTTTGAAGTGGTAATCTAGCGATCGATCAAACAAATATAGTTGTCATTTAAATTTTGGATGTAAAATTTATCTTACATGCTAGTATACATATATTTATTTTATTATTTAGTACAGCTTACATGATATTTTCACCAGTTATTTTGAATGTGATTCCTTTTAATATTTGGTGAATGAAAATACACTGTAAGTTTTTTGTATTTCCATCCTATTGAGTTCAGTTAAGAACAGAATGTAATTATTTGGCAAGTCCCTAAAAAGATTATCCATGTTATTCGTAAAAGCAAAATTATTGGGTGACCTTTTTTACCTACTTATGTGTTAGGTGAGAAAACTTAATATCTTTAATTTTCCCTTTTGACACAATTCTTTCAACAAACATTTATTTATTGTTTGACATATTTATTTAGTGTATAACATGTAGGAGTCATATTACTACCTTTTAAAATTCATGTTACATGTGAACTTAGTAGTTTGAAGCAGCAGCAGAATTGTAGCGTATGCACTTGAGCCTCAATTTTAATGTTCTCCACCACTCCTGAGTTTCTGCTATAGAAGGGAAGAAAGTGGCAAATGGTTCGGTAATCTCAGACACTACTATTTTCCAGGTGTGATCTTGGCTAAATTATTTACTTGGGTCTGCATCTTAGTTTCCTCACCTGTTTAACAGGAGTTATCATAGTACCAACTTTGTAGGATTTGAGATACATGTACAGTGTTTAGGCCAGTGTCTGACTCACAATAAAAAGTTAACAAATGTTAGCTGTTACTGTTGTAAGTAATATGTTACGGACTTTATTATTCTTGTCAACATTAAGTTTTAATTTTGTGTTAATGTAAATATAGCTAATTTAATTATAAAGTGAATTAGGAAGTTATTTTGCAATTAAACGATACCATACTACGAGAAGTTTGAAACTAACAACTCAATGACTAATTTCTTTCCTGGAACTTGAATTTTTCAGGTCAAGTCACCTAAGCTTGCCAGTCATACTTCAGTTGGTTTTTCTGAATTGGCTCCAGCAGAAATCCTTTTTGATTCAGGGCCAAGAAGTGTTTTAGCACTACCAATTGAAACTCTGGCAATATTTTCTGATAAATACCAAGCTAGATTCATATCTCCTAAGTGCTTATATCCAAGTCATTGATTGGGTTCTTATGCTCAAGGACATACACAAACTATTAAACATTTAATGTCAGGTTCATTTGGCTACATGGACACAGATCTATTCTCAGTTTTAACTCATTATTTATGAAGTTTTTTTAGTACACTGCAATATATACTAGTACTCTCAAATTCTATATTACTGTTCTAATACTGAAGATGGATTATCCTTTCTTGGGGAAAACAGAGTGATTTATTGTGCTTTCTGTTTTGGAGGGATGTTTGGTAAGTATAGTTGTGGATGCCTTTAGCAATATATAGGAGACAAAAGGCATTTTATGTTGGCAATGTATTGCTTAGAGAATAGTTATATGATTGCTTAGAGAATAGTTATGTGATCATTCATATTTAACCTATAGTTAAAACTAGTATTATAGATTTATTTCTTATAATCAGAGAGTTGACAGAAAAGACAGCGCTGATTTATTGCTTTTCTTATACTGCTTCAGCTTTTGAACTCCATATATGATTAAGCAGTTTGTGTGTGAAAGTACATCTTTTTCTGGGTTATATTCGATATTCTTTAAGTTTGATATATCCTTTTATGCTGTTTGATGTAGGAGAGTGCCAGATATAGGAATTAATGCCATTACTGAACTGGGCTGTGAAATCAAATTTGTCTTAATGGATTTCATATCTACTCTTTCAAATTCATTCTGACTCATTTCACTGTGTGGGGTTGAAGAAAGCTAGTTGAGTTGGAAACATCCAAATAGCTACTCTGTCTCAGTCTTGTGTTAGCATGTTTGCTACATTAAGAGCTTTGTAAGACAAATCTTTAAAAAGTCATTCTGTCTAGGTGCAAAGCTTTAAAATTGTATCTGTTTTAGTTTAAAAATACTTTTTTGATCACCAAGCACTATTTTATGGAAATTAATCTTGTTAATCATATTTTTTAAGTTGATTCTTTTCCTCCTGATTTTCTAGTTATTTTTACAATTATAATGTAAATTTTACAGTTAACACATGGTTGAATGTCTTTTGAATTAGCAGGAATAAGCAAAAGGAACAGATCACTTTTTAAAAGATCAAGATTTTGATTTCATGCAGGTAGTTCCGGTAATAAATAGCAGACAGAGTGACAAGAACTTTGGAGTGCAGCAAGTTTGGAGGCTACTCTGTGGCATTGGCTTCCGTTTAAAGGCACTGAACTTTTATGTCTGGCATAGTCTTGTCTTTAAACTGATCTTTTCTTTATGGCGCTTTGGCTTTAACTTTCCATGCCACCCTTTTGCAGCTTTGTGTGGGTCAGTCTTCATGAAGATAATGAAGCTGAAAAACTGAATGGCTACAAGGCTTATTTGGCAAGATTCTTTTTCTTTTATAGCTTGGGATGTTAGAACTCACAATTTTTGTGTGAGTGTGTGTGTGTGTGTGTGTGTGTGTGAGAGAGAGAGAGAGAGAGAGAGAGAGAGAGAGAGCAAGTATGAAAAAATCCTCATTGGAAAAAAAGGAAATGATATGTATGAAATTAGTCTCCAATTTCAAATTATTGTCTATTCTATCATGGTAAGTTATTAGCTAGCATTATTTAAAATTGTGAAAATGATTGCCTACTTGTCATTTAAAAGTTGCTCTTTTTATATTTAATAATTTTATTTAATGTACATTTCTTAATGTACTTATACTTAATGTATATTTCAACATTGCTAAGAGAGTAAGTTTCAAATGTTCTCACCACAAAACAAAAATGGATAAAAATAGCAAGATTTTCACTGTGAAAGTAATACATGTAATTTTAAGGGCATTTATAATAGAAAAGTAAAATTTTAAAAATCACCACTGGTAACTATCTACATTTAATTACAGATATAATTTTTAAAGCCATCTTTGAATTAACTTTGGGGTATTTGAATGATCTGTTAGCACTTAACAGCCAGAAGTCTGCAAGACATGCTGGGAGCTTCTCTAATTGAGTGCATTCTTTTAGTAGTGAGAGGCTACAACACGAGAGGTTTTGCGAGGACTTACCTAAAGAGTAGAATGGCTTCAGTTACAGGATTCCAAAGTCATTCCAATAAGTGAGTTAAATACTTTATATGTTATAAGTGTAGTGGGCAACCTCCAGCTGCTGGCTTGAATATAGGTGCCTTGCGTCCATTATTTATACGCTTCTCATCATTAGTTTCTATTAATCATACACATTCTTAATTAGTTTCTGACTACTATACAGATTTAGTTGTAGTTTGCATTTTCAAAAATAGAAATGTATGAAGTATTCTTTGCTAAGTTTGTAT